AAGGTTTTGGCGCTTGCACTCCAGGTCACGTAGAATCCATTTAGAAGGGCGCTGATTCGAGGAAGCTTGGGCTTCAGGATTTGAAGGTTTCTGGGGTAGGGGGCTTGTTTTAGTGTGCGGTCTAGCAGCCAAGAAGACGAAGGGTTTTGGACGCTCTCATCCAGCTTCTTATGGATGGCTTTCGGGTTCAGATTTAGATTCCCAAGACAGGGGGAGCCGCAGGGTTTCTACAGGGGTTGATGTTCAACAGGCCTACTTAGAGTCTATGGTTTGGACGATGCGGTCGGGCCTGAAGGGGACTGCCAGTCAGAGCTTGTTCAGATAGTTGGGAACTCCTACAAATGTAGTCTATCCGACTCCAAGGTCCCTCAAAGTCAATTCGGCATGCGGCTGTGGGTTCAGACCATCTCTGGCTTAAACAAGATCAAAACATCTTAATCTTGCATCATTGATGAAGAGACTTAGAAGTCTGACTAGCTAGGAAGAAATATCTCCTCGTGACCCGTCTTTCTATCCTTGTAATGTAACAGAATATACCCCAAAACCCTACTCTAATGCTCTCGAGCCCTGGCCCCTAATCCCGATGACAATATGCATTATAACCCGAGTTTCCCAACAGGGGCCAGATCATGTCCCGATTGATTCGCCAAATTTAAGNNGGGGTTTGGGCTTTAGGCTTTTGGGGGTTCAGTTCTGGGGATTTAGAGTATAAGTTCTGAGGTTTGAAATTGCACTAAACTCCCCCGCAAAACTCCCTACACAGAGCCTGCTGGGTCATCACTTTGTGGAGAGTCGGGAAGACCTGTCAGTCTGTCAGTGCTGATGATGCAGAGCTCTGACTTTGAGGGCTGCAGGCTCAGCCGTCCGATTTATGGTTGAGGGCTTACTGAAGGTATCAGGTTATGCTCTGGGATTTGGAGTTAAGCATGTGATCACACCTGCTATTGAAGGATCATAGCGCAAAGTTTGGACCTGAAGCGTTGTTGATACCAACCAGCCAAAGTTGCACAGCATGCTCCCAAACTTAGAGGTCCAAGCCTCCAGGCACATAGGACCCAAAAACTGCAGCAAGTAAGGGCATGCAAGAGGACGTGTAAGAGTAAATGCTAAAGCCAGGTTTTGGGGGCTTAGGGCGCCGCAAACCCCAAGCTCCGAAAGCTTTGAATCCGGAACCTGTCCTTGACCCCTAAAAACAAGAGCTTGGATTCCCGATCCCCTGAAACCCTAAATCCCGATCTTTTAGCGTTTGGAGATGTAATTAGGGAGTTTGGTGGTGAGTTAACGCACTTAACGTTCCTGGCCGCAGTCTCCAGAGCCGAAGAACCTAAAATCAAAAAGCATGTGAAGTCCTGACCCTGAAGCCTTGAAGAACAGACCCGAAACACCAGAAACCTGAGATCTTCCCAACAAAATATATCTTAGTCCCCAAGCCGAAAACCCCAAACCCTGAAACCTGAATCCTGCGACCCTATCCCTATAGACCCTACACAATACATCAGCCGAATCCCTTCGCACGAGGCCTCAACAGCGTATTCGCGCCCTTCCATAGTCACATATGGCAGGCCCTGGACCTTCAAACGTAATGGGTTTTGAGCTTAAGGCTTCAGAGCGAGGCTGCTGGCATCTTTTGACGCCCCAGAGTCTCTTTTTAGCTGACTTTCACGTTTCAGGGTTCAGTGCTGTTGGGGCTTAGGAGTTCAGGGGTTGATAAAACGGTTCGCTCAAGCATATGAAAAGCAGCCACCCCCAAAATGTGTAGGAAGTAGATAGATTGTAGGATCCAAGGTCGTAGCTTGGGGCCTGAGAGCCATGACTTGAAAAGCTAGCCCGCTATTTCTTTTGCGAACGCGAATGTAAGCTATAGTGGTAGCGACCAGGGACTTGACCCTTATGGCTTCTTATCAAGGATCGCCGGGTTGACAGACCAACACCCAGGGCCCAAATCCAAGCACACAATGAATACGTTTCGCAGCATCTGGGCTTCCTGGTGAGGAGGTCCCTGTAATGAGGATCAGGCACGGGGGCATGTGGGAGGCGTCCCTTCTTTGGACGCTTATTCCACATTACATGCTTGCTGCAATGTAGAGTTATGGCCAGACCAAAGCTACATAGGATCGAATGTCAACAAAGCGTCTGTCAGAACAAGTATTCGATCAAAACCATGGCACCCCTGTTCCGGAGAGACTTCATGTGCTGGTCTGCCTACAGGAAAAGAAAGGTGTCCTCCGCCCAAAGGCAAAAGGCCTTGGCAGCGGGCCAAAGCAAAAACTGCATACGCAAAAACAGGGTTTATTTTTAAGCATCACTTTGAAGCAAGTCTGAACCTCTTCTGGACACCAAGTAGGTGATGCTTCAAACAACTAAATTGGACTTCACAGGAACCAGGAACCATGCAAAAAAATGCAACAGAAGTCCCAAAGCTGCTTGAAACATGAGGCAGAGACTTACATGGAGGAGGACAAGGAGGAGGAGGCGGAGCAGGAGGAGGAGGAACACACGTAATATGCACGAGACGAATAATACTGTATAAGAGAAATACAAGTGATTGGATTGAAAAAATGATGATGCACCTGAATCACAGATTCTGAACCTTGAAGCCAAACCGGCAACCCATGCCTTGACTGATGGGGTCAACTAGGTACAGGAAATGCCATATGAGCAAGAATCGAAACTCCTGGTATCCCCCTTCATAAGCACCACAATATGGAGCTTAGACTATAGCTCATAGGTGGAGTCCCTTGATCTCGGCACTCTCGAGGCCACATATGGGTCCTTCCCAAAAAATAGCGGTACAATTTTGGGTCCCCATACTGAGGACCATTTTCGGGGGGTGTCTATATTGTGGTGCTCCTTATTTCCGGAAACTACCATATGGTTAGAAAGTCGCATGGGGTCCGCCTCAGAGCTTTTAGTGCGTATCTACAACAGGGCTTTACCATGCTTTACTCTTGGGAAGGAGGCCGTAGCGCTCCGAGATTCGCTTCAAAAGATGGGGTTGAATAATTTAAGACTTCCTATGCTGTTTGGGACGGGTGAAGTTGAGTAATCCGTTCAAGGGTGTTGCAGTGTAGCCTTTGGTAATGGAGGCTTAGGAGAGCATGAAGGGCATCAAGTCCAACGGAGGAAATGGTGGCATCGCATTGGGACCTCTGATTTCTGGAACATGCAGCGAGCCACGGAAGTGCTACATTGGGCGATTGCGGAATCCTATTGGCTTCGCTTCTTTGGGGTGTCACAGCTAGGCAAGCTGGTGGGAACCCATCACAAGGTGAGCCCGGCCTCCCAAGCAGAACGGCCGAAACCGATGCTGGGATCGCCATCATTGCGGCTAGTCACGCCATCGTGCCGCAAGACGTAGGTAAAGTTGTAATAGCCTCAACCATAGCTTTGTGCGACAGGCAGAGGCGGGGAAAGGGGCAGAATATCGACTTGACTCAACAGGTTGACGTAAAGAAGCTATTCAACGATAGTGGGCTAGTAGGCCGCGCAGGGTCTGCGACGCAAGAACTCGGTCAGCCTTTTCAGAAACCTCCAAGGTTCAGAGGCCTCTGGCTTCCCTTCTAATGCCCTGTTGGGCGCCGTAGGTTCCCCAATAACTTTCTGCTTTGGCCATGCCCCATGGTTTACAGCTTGGGAGTCTTTAGTATTTCAAGGCCCCCAAACCTTGCAGCCGCGATCCCCAAAACCTAAACTTACATCCCCAGCTGTTGGCGTTGGAAGCTACAGTGACAGGACCCCTTTATCATTGTCACCTGTAACGTGGTGCTTCTCAAGGGTAAAGCCACACTCTACCTTGTCGCCTACTCCTTTCTTTTTTGGTGTCCTTCTTGCAGCGGCGAACCAAAACTGTGACCCAGGTCTAGGATGGTGAGAAATACCATTTGCTATAAACCCAGATCTTGAATCCAACATCCAATGATTTTGAGCGACCCTGAACCCTGACATTCTTAACCAAGAGAAACCATCTTCTTGGGGAGATCTATATACAGCGGTGGATGGCCTGCAGGTGTTCCCGCAGACACTTCGCAGACCTGAGCTTTACAGCTTTAGGGACAGCTTTAGGGCTGTGAGTTTGGAGGTGTTGCAGCTTAAGTTGCGATGATGAATAGGCAACGAATTGAGCATGTTCGGAAGCAATGACTTGGAACACGCATCGGGAAGGCGAGGCGAGCGATCATGTTGAGAGTCCGGCGTGCCGGGCAAACAGTCAGAAGGCCCTGAAGATCTCTGCCCAAACACCCCTGAAGTCACCACAGCAAGCACTTGCGAGAATTCCCTCAACTAGGAGAACAAGGGACAAAACTGCGTGGTTCCTCCCTTGGACCTGCGGTTGACCGCTATCGTCTTACCGGGTTTTTGTCAGAACCACAGTTTCACCACGCACGATTAACGTACCTGTCGCTTTGCTAGCTTCCTATGACGGAACAAGTTGGAGGTATCGTCCATGGTTGGCCGCTATCCTAAGTAAAGAAGACTTTGAAATGGCAGAGGTCATGTCCACCCCAGACTTAGTCATGTGAAAGATAGTTCCGTTGTTCGCATGGTAGTCTGTTAGCCGGAGCAGCGTCGTGTGCGCAAGGCTTAGCCTAGGATCATGTCGCTAGAGTAGAGGATGTCAGCCAACACAATGGAGGCCTAGGTTAAGCTTTCTAATCAGAGCTCCCTGACCATGAAGATGACCCACGAGGGCTCACAGGAGATTGAATGCAGCAGGAGAGGAGGGCTCTTGGTTCCCTCCAGAAGCAACCACTCCACTCTCGACCCTGGATTCCTATATCCCTAAACACCAAACCTTGAATCAAAACCCCTATACTGGAGCACTAGTGCCCCAACTCTCCACCCTAACCTTCATGCCGCACCCGAAATCCCTCGCAGTGGCACCTCCCACCTATATGTAACCCTTTATGATTAGTCAGTATAAAGGAAGGCAGTACAAAGAAACAGAACTACGTTAAGGGGGTCTACGCAAGCCCTGAACTCTATGATGCTGAGGCTGCCGCCCCATTGTTCATGGTAGGGGTCTCGATGATGTCGCAGCGAAACTCCTCGCGGCCGCCTGGCGCTTTCTGGCTGACGGTTCTGTTTTGAAGTTAGGGTTTCAGGTTCAAGGTCTAAGTAGGGTTTGACAGGTGGAGGTGGGGCATTGCAAAGCTTGCGCCAGAGGTCTTGGAGCTGCAGGATTGCCGAATTGGCGGCCATCCACCAAATCAAGTTAGGTTCCAAGACTTTAGTTTCACAGTACTTTTTTTTTTTCCGGGTAGGCGGTTCAGCGTGTGGAGATTGGATTAATTTGTGGCTCGGCGTGAAGGAGGCTGTCACCTGTCAAGGTTTCAGGCTGAGGGCTCATGCCTCAACCCTAGAGGAGCAACCCTAAACCCAACAACCTCATGCCCTTTTTGGGGAGTCTGATACGTAGGGACTTAAGGAGATTATAGGGGTCTCCTTAAGGCACTCTATCGAGATCTTTTTGAGCAATACATGCCTGCTTGGAGACCTGAGGAGCCTTGTCTTGATTTTGGGAATTCGAGCGTTTCTGTGAGAAGAGCCAGAAACTTCTGAAGCTTTACCTAATTCAACTCTTGGTAATGCTCTGGGGTTTAGTTTTCAGTCTTGCTGGGCTTCAGTGTGAAGAAGTTGTTGATCCCCTCCTCATATACTGTACTGTACATACTAAACCCCGCCCCTCCCCACCCCAAACCCCACCCCCCTGCAACAAAAAATGCTCCCGATATGGAAACCTTATTTCATAGGGAGGGAAGGGAGACTTTTTGATGAAGGGGTGATTGACTTTGCGCACTGCAGGAAAGGCCAATCAATAGAAATCTGTGACAGGGATACACGGGCTACTTAGTGGAAGGGCAAACAAACCCAAAATCTTCAAACCCTACGCCCCTAAACCCTCAAATCCTCACCCCAAAACCTTCAAATCTCAAAACCCTGAACCCTCACACCCCTAAACTCTCCAACCCTAAATCCCCAAACCCTTTCCCAGAACCCTGCTTAGCATTTGGGCAATCGAGGCATGCAGAGATCGGGGGGGTGGTTAGAGGTTTGGGTGTTAGGACCCAGAAACAATAAGCGATTGGAAGGGCTGGGGCCCTAGAAAAGGTATAGGCATCACAGCTAATGCTCGTTGAGGCTGGCCGTGCAGTGCACAGCTTTGGGTGGAGGAGTTCGGGTCGCTTAGCAGGGTTCAGGGCATTGGGGTGTGGTAATCAATTCCGTGTGACAACCACAATATCTTTAATAACCTGGTGCTCTACACGTGTCCATGGCAGGAAGGATCGCTTGTTCTGTGGAGAGTGTTCCTATCGCATTGAAAACATGGTAAGTAACAAGGCTGAGTTATCCCAAACTGAGAAGCATTAACCTTAACACTTGCCGCCTTGAGCTGAAGCTCTCGCACCTGAGTTCTTAACCCCAAGGATCTGCGGCGCTGGTTATTGTCTTTCTCATTGTTGCTGGAATCTGGAATGACCGAAAGTGCTGAAATCATTCGGGCGCTCCTTGCTGCCATGCCCTCTATACCGCGAAAACCCTGGCCGTTTTCATATGACCAACTATTTGAAAAAACGCGAAACATCGAACCCACCCACGGCCTTTGTCGGCCAAAACTTCCAGGCCCGTACCAAGGTAAGCATGCATAATCTCAGTCGCGTTTCGCTTCTCGCCTCTACGGATTTCAGAAGACTATGTGGGGTTTCCTACAGTGCTGTTTGCCTAATGGGGGGAAACCAGAAACAGGTCCCGTACTTGAGGAACCATGGAACTACAAATACATTGGCTTGCAACCATACTCATAACTGGGCAAACCTATGCAAGTCCAGTCAGGTGGAGTATAATAAGTTGGGTTATATGCCCAGTTCTAAGTAGTTACTCAGTTCATGAACCTGTCGCAGCAACCCAACTGAAGCGACCCTTCTTCCACAGGTTTTATGACATCCCCATGTGAGCCTCTGATAAAGATCTCTTGAAAGTTCAAGGAAATTGTACTAGAATCATGCATCGCGATGTGGATTCTGTTGGTAGTGCACATATGAAAGCCCATGCTTCAACAATGCAGGCAAGAATGGTGAAAAGAATTTCTGCAGATCAACTCTCCACCTGTGTAGCAACAGTGTGGCATTGGTACAGTGACGTGACTTGTCTTTCGGCGTGGGCGGGGGTTGTACCCTCAGGCAGAGAGGATTATGTAATTGAAAGCTGCTTACACTACTTGCCGATACTTGCCCGCAAAAACCATATACGGTAGATTCCCTTTTTTGGTTGGGGGAGCCCTTTTAAGAATGTTCTCGTTATCCCGCATTCTCAACAGCTTTGGAGTATGAGCCTCGAGAAATCTTGAAGCCTTGAACCTCCACCCTAGCCTCTGGCGTCCGAACGTAATCGACTTGAGGAAATCATCCTACTGGCTAGTTGGAAACTGTACTACTAATGAGGCTACTACTTTGCAGCCCCCACGGTCCATGCCATACGAATCATCAACTTTCTCCAAAGCGCAGAGAAAATCATAAGCCCCACAGAAGTGATGTACTCATGAAGTAACCCTATTTTCCAGCAACTGGCTGCTTCCTCAAGCCCTGTGCACCATGAGGGATGATGAAACAAAAACAGAATTTGAAGTACAGGTGGAAATGGCTGAGGGAACCCTGAACTCCAGCCCAAAAAAGAAAAAGCATGTAAGGAAAAGGCGAACCTGTGTCTTGAAAGATGTCCTGCTGGTTCAAGTCTAGCTGTTTCTTCAGGTCGCCCTCCCACGTTACCTTGGCTGGGTTGGAATTGGAGGATTTCGGGTTTAGGGCTGGGGGCTAGGAGTTAATGACTGAAGTTTTGGGACTTTAGCACTTGGGATTAGTTGTGGCTTAGGAGTTGGGACGTGATGTCTATGGTTAGCCATTTAGGGCGCAAGGTCTAGTTTCTGCATCTTGGGCTTCAGATCGCTATCCCAAGTCCCTTGGGATTCACATAGACTCAATCGGGATGCACGTCCATAAAAGGAGGACTTGCCTGTAATAGTGGTATAATAGGAATGTAAGAGGACGCTAATACAATGCTTATTATCCCTTATAGCCATGATTACAGGGTGGGGGGTCCACCTAAGCTCTACAGCATTTGGGATCTTGTACAGACTGGGGATGAGGTTCGTAAGAGCAGAGCGTGGCAGGGGTTATATTTCAGAATGCATGGACTTCAGAGGTTCGAAGCACAGCAGGTCCTGAGGGTCCATGCACGCTTACGGTTCAGGGTTTAGGGTTTAGGGTGGAGTTCAGGAGAATTAGGGTGCGCCAGCTACGGCGATTGCGTAAGCCCTGAAGTATAGAAGGGATCTGATGAATGTCTGTATTGCCAATGTATGGCCCTCCCCCAAGAAAGTTTCGGAGATGCCTCAAAGAAAAAGCATGAGTACGACATCTTCATATTGGGTTTATGTTAGAAGGCCAAAGAATGCAAGGGTGAGGACTGCGCAGTTCAAGCTTCAAGTCGAGAGGCTAAGAGCTGGAGCATAGGGTGAAGGGTGAAGCTCATCAAACGAAGCATCTTCTTCAATAGAATGCGTGGCGAACCTCCGGAAATTGCTCCTCTGCTTTGATGACCTCCCCTACCATCCACGCCCAAAATTTCATGTAACCTCCAAGTGGCTCAAATCTAGGATAGGCAGCTAAGTAACTGCAATTTCTTAACACGAGCCTCAGCAATTTGAGTGATCCACGAAGGCACTGCCGCCTGTAGTGTCCCATGCATCTGTGTGTCCGGGAGTCCAGTACAGGTAGCGGCCGACGGTCCACGGCCAAAACCAAACAACAAAAATCCTGAATCGTATTGCCTTTGAGTCGTGGGTGCAAACAACCGGAACACTGAACCCTGCAGACACTCCCTGCAACGCCAGCCCCCAAGTCTTGAGCGTACACCCTCGAGAGTAGAGCTCCCGGCGTTGTCAATGATGGCGGAGGCGTGAGAGATGTGTGACACGAATGGCGTATGCCTGCTCGTTATAGGGGTTTCAGCTGAGGGCCAGGGCTGTCAAAAGCATGCATGAGCAAAAGTGCTGTAGAGGTTCTCCACTTGGTGAAAGAAATTCTCAACGGCTCCATATGCACCGTGTGCCTTTAAAGAAATCTGCTCTCCTTCGTCAGGAATACCACGGGGTTAATTTTTGCATGTAGCAAGCTTAGTCAGCACACTGACCAGATACATTCATTTCAACCCTTAAACCCTTAGCCACCAAACTCCAAAACATAAACAAAAGGCTGTTTTCCTGAAGGTCTTACTCCGACGAAGCATAGCACTGCACGAATCAAGCTTCCTCAAGATTATAGTCTACAGTCTGCCATAATCTGGTAGCTAAGACTTACGGGTTTTTGGTAGGGAATAAGGAAACACTATCCTCATATACTACCTATTTCATATGTTCCCTTTTTCCCAGTAAGAATATTTTTGGTATCTGGCTTGGGGCTGCCTGGCTACACAGCCCTAAGCCTTCGGGTGCAAGTAGTGTAAACAGTGTGTAGATTTTGCGGCAGCAAAGTGTAGGGCTTAGCACTTGTCATGAAGATTGAAGCGATTAAAATCTGACCCTTGGCATGATCCTGAATGCTGCATGCCAGACCCATTGCCTGCATCCTCAAATTTGAGCCCTCACCCTGGGGGGGCTTCTGAAGCCAATGCTCTCACATCTGCACAGGCTAGAAGGTGGATACTGGCACTCTCGCTGCTAAACACAACCCCGGGGTAAGAATGACGCATCAGTTCAGCGTACAGAGCTTTACTAAAAAGAGTTGCCACATTTGAACTCACAGAATGACAGGGAAGCATCGCAAATACAGAGACTAAACAAGCGTCAAAACGAAGATTTGTAAACGATAGGAGCAGCCAAAATGTGCCAAGCCCCTTGGTCTAGTAAACAGCAGTACGCCGTAAACCCTACACAGCTGATAATGCAAGATAATAATCAGCAAACCCAACAGAGAACACCTCGTCCACCCCTTTGTTCAGTAGTGAACGAAGGAAAAGATTTTGGAGAAGGGCATGAGTATCTCTATAATCCTCAAAGTTCTCACCAAACTTTAAGCCCTGAACCTGAAAAAAAGTCTAGACCAGACAGCCTAAATCCAAACCGTAATTCTTCAGCCCATACATCTTGAAGCCCCGCACTCGGCAACATGGCCTCGAGTGAGTCCTGAACTTGCCATCCCGCCACTTGGCGATGTGGCCTGAAGAAAGCGGATTAGGCTGTAAGGCTCAGGGTGAGTTTTGGGTTCAGGCTTTAGGGGTAGAGGGGTTGAGGGCTTCTGCCCTCGGGGCCCGAGGGAATCATCATCAGCATTGACATCAACAACATCAACATCTTTATCCTCATCATGGCCATCTTTGTCATTGCATCATTGTCATTCTCATCACAGGCATACCAAACAAGCACGGACCGCCACCATTTTGATCCATTTTGCGGCCTTCATGTTTACGTTTGGCAACTTGCAGGGACCCGCATGCCCGTCCTGAATGCAACTAATGACCCTTGTATTGAACATGATCCGCGTGGAAGCCTGAAGTTCACGGGAATTCGAAGCGGCATTCATCCTTTCTCACAGCCCCTGCGCTGGAAATTTCCCTTTGCGCGGGCTCTTGCATACTGTCATGCGATTTCGAATTTAGGGCTTAGAGGCGTTTGAAATGAACCTACACCTAGTATATCTCGATTCATAAACCATACCATAACTCCTAAACTCCAAACCTAAACCCTAACACCGGTTGCAGTTTAGACTGTGAAATTTAGAGTGTAGGATTTGGGGTTTCACGCCTAGAGTCCAGAGTATAAGGTTTCGGGCTGATCCCCGCTTCCCATCCCCGAAAAGAAAGAGGGATGACACCCTGGCCTGAAGTGAAGACAACCTCGACTTCATGCCAGCCTCCGAGGCACAGGGGCAGTTTGGGTTAAGGGCTTTAGGTTTTTCGATTTGGAGTTTCTCGGGCTCGGGCTTTGGGTTTTGGGTTTTAGGGGCTTGGTGCTTAGGGGGTCTAGGGCCTAGGGCTCCATTCAGCTGGGTCTACAAGCCTAAGCGTGGGTCGACGAAGGCTCAGGCTATGTGTTTGGGCACAACAAATATGATGGCTTTCAATGTGCACTCTTGTTAAGGATCCTAAAATGTGAACTGAAACCTTAGCTCTCCACCAACACCTTTTCAAACACGGCAGAACAAACTTAGATGCAACAGGGTGCAGCACAAAAAACAAGGTGGCTGACGAGGCATTCGTGGCTGGATAAATTGGGTACAATGCACAGTGAGAACGCCATGGATTCCTCAACGTCCGCGGTGTGTCTACAGCAGTAGCGTGGCGAGGATCGAGTTTTGAGCGGTGCTTGTTTTTTGATTGCATTGTTTGTGGGTTGATCAAAAACCTAAAGTAATAACACCATTAATACAGGGGGAGACAGTAGTACTTCCTTGCCGGGGCGGAATATCCCAGAAGATAGCATTGCTGTCTAACAAATTCGGAGCCCGAAAATATAAAATGAAATGAAAAAAGTTCCATCGGCAATAATACGGGAGTGACAATAATACAATTGTCCGCCTGAAAATGATTTCAGGTTCTTAGAGGCGAAATGGTGTTAAATTTGGTTCAGATGCTTGCATAACACACTCAGCACAACACACGTGAAACTTTGGAGCTTGTTGGCATTCAGATTCACGCAGCACACCCTATTTCAATGAAAACCGTTCTTCTTTAAAAAGGCAAGCCTGGAATCACATTGGAAGCCCCAACGCCTTCAAGCTAGCAGCCTCAGCCTTCACTGTCTGGAAATCATTAAGAACCCCCAAGCATCAGAAACTGAAGATTCCTTATTGCTTCGTTATTCGAAGATAATTTTGAAGAAGCTTCCAAAGGCTACGCCTTACCGGGGCACTCCCAAGACAATTATCAAGAGGGAGGGAATAATATACCTCCCTGCAGCAGGACTGCTTTTTAATGAAACCAATTCTGCTTTAAAAGCTTGGAATCTCCGTAGAACTTCTAGCATCCCCCTAATAAGCCCTATAATACTCCCCTATATAATTCCGTATATCACCCCCTTGCAGGAGTTTAGACTGCAGCTCATATGGAGATCCAAGGAGGAATCCCGCGGGCATCATTCGTTCATTAATACGACCCGCCCTTCCGTAGACCAAAAACGTAGAACAAAATCTGAGGCGGGGGGATTCTTTATTGTCAGTGAAACATTAAACGGCGAAGCGGTTCGACATCCAGCTGTTGAGCATCACAACTGCAGAGAACAGAAACTGTGCTTGAGAGCCCCAAACTCCTACCACCCCAGCAAGCAAAATCCTGAAGCGAGGGGTTGAAACTGAAAACTGGGGCTTTGCCGTCGAAAAAGTTCTGTTTTGATTTTGGGTTTGTGCAACGGGCCCTGAGTATATTACCAACAATGCTTCTTGGCCCAGGCCCTAAACCCTCACATCCCTGTGCCATTTCAAGATGCTCAACCCTCAACCCTGAATGGAGATTCAGGAGCCCTAGGGACATACCTGGGCTGCCAAGGTGGTGTAAGCCATGAAATGGCAAACCTGAAGCCCGGCACCTGAGCATCTCAATCCTTGAGCCTTTACTTGAACATTCTTGGGGCGTTATTAACCATGTTCGTGCTTTACTTAGGCTGGGTTGTAGTATAAATAGACATGTAAAATTCTGGTACAACAGCCGACAACAGCAACCCAGTTCAAGCACCCAGTCAGCAAGGCCATGAACCTGCAGGCACCGCGGGTGTGTAGACCATCATTTCGCCCTCCTGCAAGGTTAATTGGGTTTGGTGGTTCCGGGGGTCATAAATTTAGGGGTTACTTGTTGATGTACAGGCCTCGGGTCAGGTTGGAGGCCAGGAATTTGAGAGTTTAGAGACTAGGGTTCAGGGAGGGGGCGGTGAGGTGTAGGGCTGAGAGTTTAGGGTCCCGGATTTAGGTCGTCAGGGTTTAGGGCATAGGGTTGCAGATTTGGAAGACAAGGTTTGAGGGCAGAGCTTCAACATAGCACTCCTCATAGCTTCCATGTCCCCATCAAGCTACTCGCACCTCATCTTTGTAATGAGAGGATGTGCTAACCCCAATCCTACAGTTGGGACTATAAGGGGCATATGATATTCGGAGGCTCCTTATTTGATGGGCCGTGGTAGCCGAGATCCCCTGTTTACTTCGGCACATTGCTGGATTCGGCCGCAGCTTCCTCCTGAGACCTCAGGGCTTGCGCCATCATGGATCTCGGAACCAGAGATGAAAATGTCCCATGAGGGTAACTTATAGTAACGCAATCGGCTCCCAAATGACCCCTAATACCTGGCCCGTTGGACTCACCCCTCTGAAGGACATGCTAGCAAAAGGTTGCATGACCTCAAATTTTGCAGGCCCTCCTGTGAACGTAGCATCTTTGACCGCCTCTATTACTTGTCCAGCCCTGAAAAAGAAATAGAACCTAGGGCTGTGGGTATACGTTGTCAACAAACGGGCTTCCAGTACATATGCTGGTAAGCCTAAAGCCCCAAACACTTAACCTTGATCCCTGATTCAAAGCCATCAATAAATACACCCAATAAGGTACTCATAGCTTAGGGTTTAGGATACGATTTCAGTGGGTAACCTGAAGTTCTGGCACAGCGCGGAAGGATTTAGGACATGGGCTGGGATCAAAATCTCCTGAGCCATGCAATTTTTTCGACTTAAATTCAGTTTTAAAGGGCGACCCTAACGCGGAAGCCTCTCTCAGGCCTGTTGCTATAGGGGCAAGACTGATAAGTTCAAGGCGTCTTGCAAGGTCCCTTCATGAAGGGAAGGTTGGACCATTCGATATGACCGTTTCGCACAAGGAAAACAGAGCCTCCTGGGCTCAGTTATCAGTTGCAATTCCTGCTGACAGACCATCTATCTCGGATACTGTATTTTCCTTGGATCCCCCTTATGGATAAACAGATCAAAAACCCGAAAGTCAACGTCCGAAGGCGGAGGAACGATCTTCAGGACGCGTCTGCCAAGAAGTAGACGGAAAAAGACAAATTCATACCACTACTTTGCAGGCATCCCACGTTATCGTTGATAAGAAGCCAAACAGAGCTTCCAGCATAGGAGCCGCAAAACAAACACCTCGTAAGCCTCCAAGACACATCCCAGCCATCACCTACCAACCAACCTTCATTGCTTTTGCCTCAGCAGTAGCCGTAGTGGAATAGTAATCATAATAACAACGGTAACAGCAATGATGAAACAGAAAAGCTTAATCCTTGCAACCGTCAAGTTTCTAGACCAAAGCGTGTGTGCCAACCAACCACCGCAAAGCATGCTCAAAAACAGAGGTCCTTGGCATCGTCTAAACACATGCCCTAAAGGCTGAAATCCTCTACCTGCTGAAGCCCCTCCTTCCATGCAGCAAGATGCCTACATCTATCCGTAAATAAAGGCCACATCTACTGCTGGTCTAGTACCTATATCAACTCCCCGCTGCTCGCTTACGCACAAGTAAGATGATGGCAGAGTGCCGGGTCCTTCACTGAAGGCTCAAAAATGTGAGCAGGTCTGCCCCCGAAAAGAACCTGCCAGTGATGCTGTGAAGTGTCTCAAACCTTGGGGCCACAGGGATCCAGGACTTCAAACGGAAGATCCTGGCTTAGGTTTGCAAGGTTTGGGCTCAGGCGTGACTGCTCAAGTCCTGGACCCCAATTGCAGCTGCGGGCCCAGGTTCTGAGAAGGTGGGATTGTTTTTGGATCTAGGGCTCTAGGGAATTCGCTTTAGGTTGTGAAGTAGGGTCCAAATTTTAGGAACAGGCTTCAGGGTTTGCAGCTTGCAAATGGAGGGATTGAGACCCAGGACTCAGCAATGGAACTGGAAACCACAAGTCCAACCCCGGTTGTCGTTTGGGAGCTTCTCACAATATCATCTCCGTATAGGGACTTCCATCACCCCGTTGAGAGATATATGTATGTATATATATATATATGTCCCTTAGGTCCCTAAGTTTCTGTTTTGACGACCCTCTATACCAACTTATCCATTGACGAAGTTTCGGAATGGGGGTGTCCAGCTTCGCAGTACTGACACAGTGCAGTGTCACAGACCTGCCCGCCAATTAACCCCTCAGTTGCAATCACAAAGTGAAGTGGACTTACAGAAACATCTCCACTACACCATGCCTTGACCCCTTCACACCCAAATCCGAAACACCCTACATCCCGGCCCAGTGCCCTCCCACCCGTTCCAACCCTTACATGCTACACCACGAATCCTTACCTCCACCTCATGAATGTGGGAGGTCCAAATCCGCCAAAGCTCAAACAAACCATTAGCATTCTAGCTAATAATAGTAGCAGTCATGATAATAGCAGAAAAAAAACAGTAGTAATAGTAATAATAACAGTAATGATATTAATAATCATAATGTTGCTAATAAGAATAATAATAGTAATAGTAATCATAATAATAAAAGTAGTACTAATAATGGTAATAATAATAGCATCACATCATTCATGCCTCCAAAGCCTCGCTTCACCCCCACCTAGATGTGTGGCTCATGACCCCCTGACATAGTCGTCATGTCCGGCACAATAAAACTGCTTCGAAGTCCCGTACCAAAAAAAGTGCCAGCGGGACCCTACGTGAAAGATAGAAACAACAATCTCATCACTACAGAGCCTTTAGGTTAAACCCTGCAGCTGAAAACCCGAAGGCCTGGGTGACATATGCAAAGCCGGCCCCCGCGATGTGGACTTCCGTACCACCTGCAGTGGAGCCTTCAGTAGGCTCGACCTTGGCTTTAGCTTTTCAGGTCATAGGCTGAGGGCTTGGGTGCTGCAGGCAACACAAAGAAGCACAGGTGTACCTAAGCTGAAGGATCTAAGCCCATACTCGGAACCTCCGATTAGACTGCTGGGTGGCGGCATTGTTGCTTGGAGCATCAAAGCTGCAATGTGAACTTCAGTAGTCTAGGGGTTTGGAGGGTTGGGTTCAGGGTTTAGGAAAAAAGTTGGATCTAAGTTTGAGCTTTTGGATTTGTAGCTTAAAGAGCATTCGAGCTGTAGCTTCATACAGAGGAGGCTCAGGCTGCTCATTGTGATTATCATCATTATTACCGTCATCCTCATTATCGTCATTATCATTACTAATATTTTCGTTAACATTAAGATCATTATTATCTACACTAGCAGTACTATGATCAGTATTGAAACTAATAGCACCCACGCGTGACAAAATGTAAATGCCCCGAAATATTCAGCTGGTCCATCGACCTGTGCTTGGAACTTCTGAGGCACCTAGCAAGCTACCGGGTTATCGGCAAACTGGATAAGCTCCATATAACCCATGATACGAGTTACCATTCTCTTTCCCATTATCCCTATATAACCTATTTTACCCTACATGGCCTCAAACCTAAAACTTTGACAAGGTAGGGTCTGCAAGATTCTCGGATTATTGCGGATTCAGGAAGTGCCCTTACCGTTTAGGGTTTAGGCCTGCAAAATACTAGCAACAGTGATGGGCACCTTGGTATGGGCCACAAAACCAGGGGGCGTGGGCTTCAGAAACTCCCTACACCGAGATATCCATCCCTTGACGCTGAACCCTATGTGGCTGTTACTTACTTTCTGACATGACCCCACCTACCCACTATGTAACCTCAAAGCGAGGTTGCTGCGCAGGACGGGGAGAATGGTAGCTATACTGAGTGTTGTGGCGGGATGTACAAGAGTTTATCTCTAGACAGTGTGCAATTCCCGTATGATCCACGCAACTGGCTGTGCATCATGAACATAAACGGCATAACGAAGAGAACTCAAAATGCAGCATTGGGCAGAAGAAACTCCATCTTGCAGTCACCAAAAACTTTAAAACCCAGGGTGAAACTCGTCATAAACAATGCATAGTCGGACGAGTTTCACGCACAGTCCCCGCGTAAGTCCTTCAAGGTTCTGCACAGCAAATACAGACGAAACTAGTAATTAACCCCTACCTCTAGACCTTGCAGCTGCAGCGTCGCCGCACGAATCCGAAGCCTCTAAACCCCCTACATGCTATAAATCCTAAACGAGTCCTAAGCCGTTCCCCTTTGAACCCCAACCTGTAACCCGAGACCTTCAAACCAAAGCCACGATTTCTGAATGTCCCAAACCCTTCTGCCCACAAGCCTCAAAGCTTGATCCATCATATTGTGCCTGTTCTCACCTGTTTGTGCTTTGTTTGCACAAAGCAAGTCTACGACGGGGTGTCCTACACCCTGAGTGAAGACCCTGAACCCACGCGCATCCCCAAAGCACGAAAGCCCCGAGGACAATCGGGCTCCCCAGCGCTAAACACGATGCCGAATCCTTTCACCTCGTGGCTGGACATGTGGTACTCGAGGGTTCATTGGTCGTAAGAATATAGATAGAGTTACTGGTCCACTATGTCAAGCTATAAATGTAGTTAACCTAATTGCTAACCCAATTGAGAACCTTCACCCAGCGTATAGGACTTCGGGGGTTCGGGTCTAGAGCTCAGAGCTTTGGAACTTTACAGTTTTCGTATTTGCCACTGCGGCGAGGGCCACAGGATTTTCGAAAATGATGGACTACACTAAGACTTGTAAAAATTAGCCAAAGCTTCCTCAGGGCTTAGTGCAGATGATACATTATATGGTGTCGTGAGGAAATTAGACCAGGCAGGTTGTAGCAATTCTTTGCGGCTTCATAAGAACCACTTCCAGGTTTGCATGGCTCATCTGATGCTTTAGTGGAACATACGGTCGTGGCGTAGGTCCAAAGTCTATACAGGTAAGGTCTCAAGTTCAGATGCCCGTGGGGTCCAGGGTTCACGATACTGCTGCAGCTGACAGTGGCCGTAACTCGAAACTTTGGCTTAGGCCTTGGCACTGAAGCTTTCCGCTTAAGAGCTCTGAACTTAGGGATGCTCAGAGTTCAGGGCTTAAGGTCTAGCATTTGGGGGGTTTGTTAATTTGGGTTCTGTCTTTGGGGGTTGAAGCTTCGGGCTTTAGCGCTTGCAGGTGTTCAATGTAAACACGTGAAGAGGTGCAAACAACCTTTTCCTACGATACTGAAAGGAATTGCTCAAAAAGGTTGCATGGGGTCCCCAAATATCTCCAGAACAAAGAGATTGTTCGTATAGTGCACCCCAATAGCATTCATGTGTTCCAGAAACCTTTACATGCACCTGATTACTCTTGCACCTCACTACTACTGCTAAGGTTGGGCGTGTAAAGTTGTCATGTGTGAGCTTCGAGCCCATGAAGTTGGAAACCCAGACCCCGAACCCCAATTAGCCCAGACTCCAAAGTGGCAACCCCACTGCTCCCCTAAACTGGTTTTCTTCGGAATATCCCTGCTGAGGGTTGAGCGGGAATTTTGGGAGTGGAGGAGAGCCCCTGTTTCCAAAAAAGCTCTTGCATCCTAAACCTGAATCCCTAAAACCATCACACCAAATCCCTGCAAGTACATGAGAGAATGTCAAATTATGGAATTAAGTGCACGCTCTCTATTCTAATCCGGCCCCTCAAAATTAGGCTACCCCAAGAAGAAACAATTGCGTTGACAACCCCCAACCCCCTGATCAACCCTGACTACACACATAGCCCTGCCAGGGGCCCGACACCGGCATCTGCGAGACCCACCAGGGCGGCCAGTAGGACCGCGCCAAGCAGGCCTTAGGTTGTGTTAGCGGTCCCTTTAAGCAGGCTATGGGGGTCCCCGAGAAGCAAGGATATGTTGGAATGTGGGGGTTTCGGGAATTTAGGCTTTTAAAGCTTTAGGGTTTGGGCTAGGTGACTTTAGCACAGGGTAGCGCTTCTCGGTTAAGCTTCATGTAAGGCTTAGGAATTAGGGTTCCTTTTCCAGCTTAAAGCTCCTCCAAAACATCCCAGCCCCAAACCGAGGCCAAAACCGTTAACTACGTCAACATGCAATATGATAATAGCGACGGATCCTGGACTTGAAGCCAAAGTCGCGCGATTGGGCTGCAGCATCTTGGTTATTGAGGTGGCATTTGTGGGGCAGTTTGTGAAAAGAGTTTCTTGAATTACAACATGACAGAGAAGAAGAAGAAGAAGCAATCGACGGAGGTAGTCCGTACCCCAAACCAAACATGCCATACCAAAGCTTGCGCGAGGGACGCGTCGGCCCTGCGGAGTGGGGAGAGATCCCAACATACCCGCTAAGCACGCGACCAAATGAATCCAGAAGAGTGCGGGTCCCAAGAAGATAGGGAGTAAAGCAGGAAACAAGCTAGGAAATCTTCGTGTGCAAAATTGATGGCAAGCCCAGCAATATCTGATGCGACAAGCAGAAAAGTTGTCTCCGTCCACGTCGGGGGCTCCGCTGAAGAGCTTCCCCTTCTTGAGGGCTCCCTGTAAGAGGCACCCCGCCGTGATGGAAGAAAAAAGACCAAAAAAAATAGAGTCCATCTTTCGGAGTCGGAGCCATATCCACCCGAGACTGATCCCAGCCCCTCTCGCGAGAAAACCCCAATCAGTTTCCCTGCCAACCGAGAATCCCGAACCGCCTGGATCCTAAAAACCAGATAAGCACTCAGTAGGACACCTTAGGGTCA